CTAGGGAGTGCAGTAAAACACAGGATAAAAGCTGAAAGAATTTATACATGCCTGGATAATTTTGTTGCTGTTATGGACAATGGTTCGAATTTAGGGTCATTTATGTTCCGATCTCTAAGACAATATTCTTGAAGCAGTTTCACCCGTGGGACTTTTAAAAAAGTAAACTCCACTTCATGCAAATTTTCACCCTTTTGTAGTCTTTTGTGATGTCATTCAATGCAGTCAGCCTCTTTTTAGGCTACCTTGGATGGTGCCAATTAGTCTATTCCCAGTTGCAGAAACTCCAGTTTTTATAACATTTAAAATTAGGTCAAACATAAAATAGATATACTGGATGCTATAAACCTGGCACAAAAAGAGCGAAATAGCATAGCAGTTACTATCAAGTTAAACGTACATGTAAATACATCATTGACTAAAAATCTCTATATAAACTTACTGGCTGCACATCTTCAGACTTAGGTTCATCTTTTGTGGCCTCTTCTTCCCCTTCCTCCAGTTTGCGTTTAGCTGGGATTTTCTTTTTAGATTTCGGGTATTTTTTCTTGTCTCTCTGTTAACACAAAATAATGCTCAGAAATAACAGAAAGAATGTGGATTGTACAATTTACATTTTAAAAACCTGCAATTATATCTATATTATTTTTCAAATGAAAGTGAGCAAGTGACTGCATGATTAAAGCCTTGACAGTCACTATGACTGAAATCATATCATAAAATCCATTCAGAAGTACAGCTAACATTTCTCTTACCTTATTCTTGAAGAAGTCTGGCTGCAAATGAGGCGGGGTGAACTTGACTGGAGCTTTGATTTTGTCTCGCAGTCGCATAGGTGCCTTGGAATCTATTCCCATGTTCTCAGAGTCATCATTACTGGAATCCACGCACTCGGAACACTGCCTGGAATGGGAAATAAATAAATAAATGAATAAATAAATAAATAAATAAATAAAGACAAACAAATACACACATCGCAAAAAAATTCACTACTAGATATGACACCAATGATTAATTAGCAAGGCACATTTTAAAGTCATAACAAAAAAGTACATCCAAGAGCACTGTGGGAACATCTAAGAGCATTGTGGGAACATCCCAGAGCAATGTGGAAGGGACTTACCAGCCCTGTAATTTCGTCTTCTTGGGCATCCTGGTGAGTGGTGGATCGAGACAGCCCAGATGGTAATGATTTTTGCACGAGTCACACTTGGCAAGCAGGTGCTGGTCACGGCTGGTCTTGCAGATCCCACACCTGAAAATGGAAAGTCTGGATGGCTAGATGTTGATGGATACATTGTCAATTTCTTTAAGGATATTGTTTTCCTTTATTATCATCCTGATCACTGAAGATTTATTTATTACCCAAATGAATGTATGCAAGGCAATAAACAAGGAGTTTTGGGCAAAGGGTCACAACATCCTTAAGGGATATTTCTTAAACATTTTCTTTAAACAAATTATAGTGTATAAAATAAGACAACTTTAACACTAGTGTGAACCCAGGTGAAGATGACTTAGTAACTGACAATTTGATCATACAAAGTTGCTGCATTTGAAGTGTATTGACCTACTGTTACTACTAACAACTATTGGGAGTGGCTTTCTTGTATATGCATGAAAGCTCTACAATTGTGCCATGACAAGTGTGAGGGGAGCTCAAAAATTCTTGAGCCTCACACATTTTCCCCAGTCAATTAGTACAATGCATTACACTGGATTTACACTTATATCTTTTAGCTAATGATTCTACACAGAATCATATATCTGGGTGCAATTGTTAATTAGTAATAAGGATTTGTGAAAGAAATATCCCCAACAAAATCTGTTGTTTCACAAGGACTGGCTTGTTCTCTCTGGGGCTATGCAATCCCCCCCCCCCCACCCCCAATTTTTTCCAAACCTACCCCCAGAAATTATGTAACCAAACAAAACTAGTATTGTTGGTTGAGGACACATGGCTCCTTTATCTTGCTAAGATTATGTCTATTATTTATTACCTTGAAGTGTGGATCATGCTTGTATCACCCATCTTGTTAGAGAAATTAGTTAGATTATTTCATTATAGACCAGTTGAGTTTTAATTTAAATTAACCTCTGTCAATACTTTACTTTATTTTATTGATCTTGATGCACATTCTAGGCCATGAAAAGTGTATAATGCACTGAGTCTGTCTATTATGAGCTGCTGTGGTTTTTTATGTTTCTTGCAACTTCATCTTATTCCCATTGCACCATACAATACCACCTTGCACAGTTTTCTTTTTAAAATATCTGATAGATTTGGGGTTTAATCGACTTTGAGGAAACTGCTGCTTCATGGGCAATTTTTTTATATATACAGCACATACACTGATATATGAGATGCACTAAAACATATGGTACGTGCAATGAAGAAGAAATTTTGGTCTACGGATATTAGTAAACAGCTTATGTACCTCAGTGGCTTTTTATATGGGTCACACTATTACCTTCAATTAAATTGCAAGCTACAAGTAATAGTAAATCTGACCCTAGGTCCACTAAGACTGTAGGCCTACAGGCCCTACCTAGACACCATATATAGTTAGAAGAATGCAGGCCCATAGCCAGCAATTACAAAGGGGGGGGGGTCTTTTTCTGAAAACGTGGACCTTTTGTCATAAAGCCTTTTTTGCCAAGATCAAATTACGGAACCCAGAGTGGTCCTTTTCCTTGCAAAAAAGGGGGTTCTTTTGAACCCTCAAACCCCCTTGGCTACAGGCCTGGAATGCTACTGTAACATCAAATAAACAGCTGAAATTTTGTCAACGTTAATTGCATGGAATTGAGGAAAGTGTTAATTGTATAGGAGAGATTGAACTTGTTCTGTGTAAATTAGTGTTAATCGTATAGGAAAAGTCGAACTCACACTTCAACATTTTCACTGCATGAAACGTTAATTTGTGTTTTTAACATTATTTCATTAGAAACACATCTTTGCCGATAAATATTACTTCAAGGTAGGTATGAATAGATCCATATATTTTATATAAAGTGGTTGATTAATCTCCAGGTACAGCAGCATTTTTCTATTTATGTTGCTATGTACTGCTCACAATGGGAGGCCTAAACAGAGTCAGGGAGAGTTACGGTGGGTAAGAGAACATGTCTCCGTGGCTTGTGTTTAAACCCGTTATCATTAACAAAACCAATAACAGGCATAAGAATGGGACCAAGAGGGCTTTTCAAGTGTTGCGCGGACTAATCCTGTGTCTGTTGTGCACTTCATAATTTTGCTTTTTGAGTAGCAATTTAAACAACCCAATAAATGTAAATTTTACTTAATATATGACCAAAATCACAATATCTAGAATCTACACACAAAGTATTTCATGTTGAACTAAATAAATATACATGTCAAATCTAGTGGGTTTCATATTGAACTTGAGCACACCTTTTCATGAACTTACAAAACTCACATCTAAAAAGAACTTACACTTTGCTCAAATACAATTAATTTGAATAAAAGATGAACTGATGAACATTAATTCCTTGCATTTGGTTTTCAACTGAACACCAAAGAAATAAAATTATTTTTATGTATATTTACGGATGTATGATGGGTGGTGGAGAGCGAGGCGTCTCTCTTCGAGTAGGTGACCTAATCACTTTCTTGGGCTTCAAAACCTCTGGCACGGGTAGTTTCTGCAATCATAAAATTGGGAAAATATGTAACATCACCCAAAATTGTCAATAAGATATCAACGCCGTCTTTTCACTAGGAAAACAAAGAGGATATGGCAGTCAAGCTTGACATTTTTCATCAAAAATTCATAAACTCAAAACCAAACTGTCTGTAGATTTTATTTAAAATTCATTACGTTCTGCCTTTCCTTATCCTTATCTTGTTAACCAAATATCAAAAGTGACTTGTGCCTTGACAATCCAGTATTCTATCAAAATGAGATGGTAGATTTAAAACCCTTCACTTCAAAATCACCTCCTGTGGGTTGAAAGTGTTTTTTATTATTTTGCTAGGAGTAACATTCATGTGAGGAAGTGATGTCTATCAAAGTTTGTGGAACAAATATATTGTTTTTACACACACATCCCCTCTGAACATGTGACATTTTTTTTACTGCAGTGATCATTTGCAACATTACATATACTGTTAAACAGGGTAATTGCCTTCAATTGTTAATTAAGTAGGTCACTGTTACTGTGGCCATTCAGAAAATGTAGCTACTACTGGGTTTCAGACCCATGGCAGTTCACATTATACCTTGAGTATGCCAAAAATGAAAAATCCACAAAAAATTACATTTCATGAAAAGAAAAAAATATCTAATCAGACAGGCTTTCAAACTAGAGCAGCTAATGAGTCATTAGAATCATTCTTGTAAGTCCGAAAATATTGTAACACAATTTTTCATTTTATGGTTTTGACAGTCACTGAGACATTCCACAAAATGGGATTTTGATCAATTTTGATGCAAGATATTTACAGAANCTCATAAAAGTTAGTGTCTAGCCCTGTATATGACCAAGAACACAATATCTAGAATCTACACACAAAGTATTTCATGCTGGACTTAATGAATATACATGTCAAATCCTGTGGGTTTGACATGTTTCATATTGAACATGAACACACCTTTTCATGGACTCACATAACTCGCATCTAAAAAGTACTTCAACTTTGCTTAAATACAATTAATTTGAATAAATATGAACTGATGGACATTAATTCCTTGCATTTGGTTTTCAACTGAACACCAAAGAAATAAAATTATTTTAAAGAATATTTACGGGTGTATGATGGGTGGTGGAGAGCGAGGCGTCTCTCTTCGAGTAGGTGACCTGATCACTTTCTTGGGCTTCAAAACCTCTGGCACGGGTAGTTTCTGCAATCATAAAATTGGGAAAATATGTAACATCACCCAAAATTGTCAATAAGATATCAACGCCGTCTTTTCACTAGGAAAACAAAGAGGATATGGCAGTCAAGCTTGACATTTTTCATCAAAAATTCATAAACTCAAAACCAAACTGTCTGTAGATTTCATTTAAAATTCATTATGTTCTGCCTTTCCTTATCCTTATCTTGTTAACCAAATATCAAAAGTGACATGTGCCTTGACAATCCAGTATTCTATCAAAATGAGATGGTAGATTTAAAACCCTTCACTGCAAAACCACCTCCTGTGGGTTGAAAGTGTTTTTTATTATTTTGCTGGGAGTAACATTCATGTGAGGAAGTGATGTCTACCATAGTTTGTGGAACAAATATATTGTTTTTACACACACATCTCCTCTGAACATGTGACATTTTTTTTACTGCAGTAATCATTTGCAACATTACATAAACTGTTAAACAGCATAATTGCCATCAATTGTTAATTAAGTAGGTCACTGTTACTGTGGCCATTCAGAAAATGTAGCTACTACTGGGTTTCAGACCCATGGCAGTTCACATTATACCTTGAGTATGCCAAAAATGAAAAATCCACAAAAAATTACATTTCATGAAAAGAAAAAAATATCTAATCAGACAGGCTTTCAAACTAGAGCAGCTAATGAGTCTTTAGAATCATTCTTGTAAGTCCGAAAATATTGTAACACAATTTTTCATTTTATGGTTTTGACAGTCACTGAGACATTCCACAAAATGGGATTTTGATCAATTTTGATGCAAGATATTTACAAAACGTTTAGCACTGTTATCAGCACTGTTTTTAAGGCACCTTTCCCAATTCAGATTTTAAAAACAGTAAAACCCATGAAATGAGAGTAAATGCAAACCATATTCAAAAATTTTGTTATTTTATTTGGAGCCTTAGATCTTTGCAAGGCCCAAGCCACAGGATCTCACACCTCTTCAAGCTTTTTTTCTCTAACCAAGCACTAAATGCTGAATAACACAGAGGAACGGTTCGTACCTTGCCCAATATATCTCCAAGAATCTTCTGCAGTTTTTCTGCTTCGTGTCTCAGGCGACTGTTAATGGCATTTAGCTGTTTCCCATCACTAGATACCTATTTCCAAAGAAAAAGGTGTAAGTAAAGACCACACTTTTTTTTTTACTTGTTATCCTCAATAAACGTGATCAAGCTGCCTCACAATTTATAGCTTATTTTTTCAATATTACATTTAAACAGCTTATAAAGTACAGCATCTTTGATAGGGAATTTAATGGTATTCATACCTGATCATATTGGAGCCTTAGGATTCTTTCTTGATCCTGAAGTTTGTTGTTTTGAACAAGAAGTTCTTTCATCTGAGTTTTAATGTTGGACATCTTAACATTACGATCTAAAAAAAGGACATTTTATTGTTTAATGTCCGAAAGCAGTTTTCCAAAAACAGAGTGATTTACACTTAAATATGAACAAAAGAAAGAAATAAAGAAGTTATAGCTGAAGTTATCCCACACATTATCACTTTGAATAGAGGGCAAGCACGTTGTAAAAACATGGAAAATTGTCAAAAAATATATTGCTAAACTCATAAAAGTGACTTTTATTTTAGAATTTGTCATTATAAAAAAAACTTTTAATGTAAAATCTTGCTCAAGGTTAGAAAATGCAGCATCATGTAATATAATTCTGAATTCCTAAAAATGGAAACCTTACCCAAATAGTAACTGGCAAACTCCGCTGATAAAGCTGGGGCAATATGCCATCTAGTTTTGTGCTCTCCTTTACTGCAGGCAGAATTAGGAACCTGAAATATTTTTCTTATCACAATACCAGAAATGTTAAGCAGCGTATCTTTAGTTAAGCACCAAACTGCATTCTTATTCTGTATGCTGCAGAAATATATTAAATATTTGTGGTTGGATAGAATGAAAATGTTATTTATAACTGTTACAATAATAATAATAAGAAGAAGAATATAGAAAATCAGCTTAAAACCAGTTGACAGTACTTATTATACATCGATTTCTCTACCAGCCTATATGGACTGTCCTTTACTTGTCACTTCCATCTTAGACTGGCCAGATTAAATAGGTGGCAGCAAGATGCACACCCATGCTCAGTGGCAGACAGTTGGTCATATAAGCCTAATTTGAGCTGATATGTTGAAGTATATGCATTAAAAAAACTCAACCATCTCTGTGATAATTGAATGAGATGATGTATTGGCGAAATTCCAGCTCAACTCACCTTAGGTTTCCTGTATCATTTCTCAACACCTGAACTCTTTTTTTTCTTTTGTCAGACCTTGCAAATATTACCTGTGGATTGATTCCCAGCAACTCTGCTTTCTTCATCATTCTCCTCACAGCTGCAGGGCTTGTTGTCAGAAAACGTGGAATCTTTTCTTTTGGAACTAAAAAATAATAAATAAATAAATAAATAAATAAATAAATAAATAAATAAATAAATAAATAAATAAGGAACAAAATCAAGTGATAAAAACATGCTGACTTTACAACCGTTTTATCAGGATTGCTGCTACATGTAGCACCCCTGTGGCGCTGACCTGCCCAAACCTTTTACCTGAAGAACGGAGGTACTATACATAGATCTTTTTCACTAAAACATCAAATTCACGTTGGTTGTACATTTTTTTTTAATGTTTTCATTTTCCAGTCCGCTCTCCCTAGCTTGGGAAGTCAAGTGGCAGTATCGCTACTTGGGATGTTATGTTGTTAGACTAGCTTTATTATAAGCATTAAGGGTCGCTGGATATTTTTCTTACCCCATGGTGGTGGTCTTTTGGCCTTAGCAGCTAAAAACTTCTGCCTGTGCCTTCTTAGTTTTCTCTCAACCCTCAGCTGTGAAAAAAGAGGAGAAATTATTATGAGGATAACATTTAAAAATTACATATTTGAACAAGTTGTTGTAACATTTAAAAAAAAATTTTGAACAAGTTGTTAACAGAGTTGCACAATGAATGGATGTTTTACAATAAAAATCTGATCAAATGCACTTTTTTAATTAGGCATATAAGAGGGATAGCTCAAACAGCTCATAACAATAGCCACATACATATGACCCCATTACAACATCATTAGAAATATTACACACGTATACAAAACAACATAAAATATCATCTCAGTACAATTTAGCAAGCTTTGAACAGCACTGGTGATATATTCAATCCCAAAGACAAACTTTAAGACAATTTTAGACCAGTCAATAGTAAGCAAAAGCACAGGCAGCATGCATAATGCACTTACTGACAAACATCTTCTCTGCTTCAGAAAACACATACTGACACAAGAACAATTTCTGACCAAACTATGTGCAGATTTTGTAGTAGGAATATGCTCCCCCCCCACCCACCCACCCACCATATAGCGAAAATAAAACAGCAGCTACAGAACCCCAGCCTGCCATGATCATAAAAAATATTATGTTGCCATGAGCAACAATATGTTGCACTGAAGCTTAGGATGCGGCAGCAATAACCTCTAAGAGAAGAAAACAAATAACAATGAACTAACTTTATATGGTCCAACCTTTTCTTTGTTGTCCAGGTTTTTGCCTTCTTCAGCATGTTGTTTAACACGGGACTGAATGGCCAACCAGTTACGTTTCTTGGCTTTGACGCTAAATTTATCTGCATGCACTTTACAGTAGGCATAAAAGGGATCTGCAATGTCCTGGAATGGAAAATACAACAGGCTGCTTTGAAAACTGCCGATTTTTTAAATAATAAGTAACAACAGCAATTTTATTATAAGTGAGATCACTTTTAATCAAGTAAATACGGTAGTGTTAGATTAGTCTTTGGAAACATGAAGATTTAAACTCAGATTTAAGTGCCAGGGGCAAAGTTCTTTTCTTACATAAAACAATTATTTCAGATCATCTTTCAGATTATCTTTAACTTTGTAATAAATACCACTTTACAGTGAAGGAGATGGGTAATCTGACTGTTTCCACTGAAATAAGTGATAGGTTATATGCATGCACCCTCATCCAAATATAATGCTTTGTTCATATTACTCTAACAAAAGAATCACAGAACAATTATATGTACATTTGAAAAATAAAAACAGAAATATTTGAAATCACTCTCTTATAATTTACAGCTACTGCAAATACAATTCTTGCATTTATTTTGCATATTTCTGCCCGCTTGTTAACTATGTAGTTAACCCAGTAATTTAGATTTTAACTGCCTTTTGATATTTTTTTATTTTTTTATTTTTTTTACAAGTGCCCTTAAAAGGTCCTCATTATTTGAGTTCATGAGGAAACAAGTTTTTTGCGGGACTAATCAAGCTTATATATAATTTAATATGTGGGAGGAGAACTGACTGGCATTACACATGCATATTTTATAAACTTGAAACAACTCTATTACTTTTGTTACATAATTATGTTAAGTAAAGAGAAATGCCTCCTTTATAAAAATTGTTATCTAGATACTTTGTTCAAGTGTTAGTTTAAGCTCCATTAGCCATAGCCTGCATGGCATACACCAGCTGGTGACTCAGACTTGGGCATTTTCAGGTCGGAATTCATAATAAAGGACTTTTAGTTAAATGAAAACTTGTTGTTCTCCTTGGCTTCCTATGATATAAAAACATGCAACTTGCCTCATCTGGGGATGCTTCAGACAGCAAGCCTTGCCTCTGGGCACTTAAAAGAGAATGATACCATTATTTAACTGTTTATTCCAAAGGTTATGATATGACAATCAGTCTGCAATATTTAATATTGAACCCCACACCAAATGCCAGTGAAATTGAAATCAGGCCAGTAAAAATTTGAAAATATAATCCCAGTACTATTTGATCACTATTTCTGCTTTGGATCGGTGGATTTCAAGACCCTGATTTCCCAAAGATTTTGGCACAGAAAAGCAACTTAGGAATGCACTTAGGAATCAATTTTCAGCACGTTAACCACCTGGCATTCTTTCAACAATCTGTCGTGAAAAAAACAGGCAGATAATTTTTCAATGCAATAGGGCTGCACATTTTGGGATAAAACCATGACATTTCACAGAATGTAAATTAAGGATAAGGCTAAAAGAATAAAATTAATGCTACCAGTTACATACAATGGAGCACCAGTTTCAACTTACCATGTTACATGGAAATAGGTGCGGCACATGCCAGCGTCACAGCTAATACACACCCCAGTTCTGGCAAACCTCTCGTCTTCACAGATACTACACGCCTAAACAGAAGCCTCTTTTTAAAAGTAAATTTATAATTTCTACCATGATAACACCCCAAAGATATATAAATATTTAAAACAAAATAATAATAGTAATAACGTTTCTTAATCAATATAAAAACTTAAGTTTCTAATGGGCCACCACACTTTATTTAATCACAAATACAGTGTCAAAATTTATTTTGACAACATATCCTGTAAAACTACTTCTCTTTCCCCACATCAGATCATAAGAATGCTAAAATCCATGTAATGGTTATAAGTCTTACCTTGGCTCCCCACACCGAATAGGACATTTCAAATAGTGTCACTGGACTCAGCTTATCAACGTCACCAAAGGCAACCCCAGGAATGTACAGGGCACATACAATATGGACCCATCTTAAATAAATAAATAAATAAATAAATAAATAAATATAATGCCGACAAATCAGTAAGTCAGATAATATATGTGACTATTATCTTGAATCAGTGTCTGCTATCTATTTTATAATCAATGTTGTTTCATAAAAGTTGTCAAAATCAATGTTAATTGCTTAGTAGAAGTACAAAACCTGTTAATATTCATCCCTGGTTCTTCCCTTGTTTTTAAATGAATCTTATTAACAGTTGTGTACATGTATTTCCTAAAACAAATTTTAAAGTTAGGTAAAGGGACATGTTGTGAAATAATAATTTAATATGTGTTACGCTGACAGTAACTGTCTAAAATAAAGAATATAGAATATATCATATGGCTTACCTCCCTGTGTCTGTCTCTTTATAGATTCCACCAGAATTGGGGCACAGTTCGCAGCTCTGGAGATTGTAAAAAAAAAAAAAAAAACGATAATCCCCTGGCATTTAGCCTAGGTAGTTTGTGGGAACACAGTCTGTTACACAGCCTGCTTCTTAAAATTTTGTAACAAAATTTAATACAGGATGAACATTTTAAAGGGAAAAATAAAATTTATTTCATCAAAATCATCTAAGATTATGTTTTACGTGCTTACATTTATGATGCTGGTGAACTGTTGATTGAAGTACAGCACACTGATCAATTTGAAGTCCTTTCCATAAATTTTCCTATTAAGTAAAATATACATTTTAAAGCTTTGTCACATAGTATGCTATATACATGTGCACCTAGCAGAAGAAACACATGCTGACCAACTTACAGGTCTCACTCCAGCTTTACAAGCATCGCAAAACCATGGCTCAGTGCTGGCTGAAGACTCCGTACTGGCAATGGAATGGGATTCGCTGATGCCATAGCAACCTTCGTGGACCGACACCCCACAGCCATCACATTCCACAATCTCATCTTCTTCGTCACTGAAAAAAAAAATTGTAGAGTTATATATTATAATATTAATACGTATGAATTTCAGCCAATGCAAAAATGTATAAATGTAAGAACATACTGATTAAGTAACTATATAATTATACATTCTGAACCCCAATTCACGTACCATGCACTGACATTAACTCAACAACAATATTTATGTGAATGGCAATGAGTTAGAATTCAAAGTAATCTTTGCTGCAAAAATTTGAAATATCCAACCAAATTTTATAAGAAAGGGTAAGGCCTGAACAGTTTCAAATCTATTGTCAAAACAAATTTTCACATCCATCTACTGATACTAATATGTTTTGAAATATAGGATATAGGACTTTTAATTAGATATTTTAGTTTTATCTTCACTTGAATAAATTAAAATTAAGGTTACATTTCCAAAGTTTAAAAAAATCTTATTGTTACAGTGACTTGTATAGGTATTGCAGTGGCATACGCTCTCAGGTTCTTTTTGATGTAATTTAGCAGGGTCACAATCCAGCGTCATGCTTAATGTAACACTTACCAATTGCCAGCTTTGGGTGTCTTGTTTCTTTTCTTTATATAGCAAGTTTTTAAAACAATTTATACAGTAAAGAATGTGATTTAAAAGCAAGTTGCAATAATAATTTTAACAATGGGGCATAAAATTGAGTGTGCATAAAAATGTTTAATGACTGGTCAGGACTCCATAATGCCCAAAGCTGCTAGGGCATTATGGAGTCCTTACCAGTCATTAAAAAGAGTAAAAATATCCATAAATGCCATTACATTATATTGAATAATAGATACTGAATGGGAATCATCCAAGATGATAGCGTGTAGTCAAGCATTTTGTGGGATTTGGAAGAGAGCAGTGCCAGAAATAATGGCAGACTAATGCTTTCATTGCAGCAACATATAATGCCTGACAGAAATTGTATTATCAACAGATTTTTTTCTGGTTAATTTTTCAACTTGTAGAATTTAGTATTTTGCATAACAGTGTATAATCACGATATTTTGTTAGTTCTGTCTTGCTTTCTAACAAAGCATTCAAGGCAAAGAGTTTCATGTTTATTGATGAAAGTTAAACCACATCTGCAAGTCCATGGACATTTTCTAGATTGGGAGTATTGCTAGCAATATTTTTCACTCAGCCAAATCACTACCTTTTACAACTATTTTCTCCAAATGGTTTAAATTTGACCAAAACCACCCATTTTGTTGAGCCAATTTAAGTCCGTTTTAACATTTGGTTAAATAGGTGAGTGATATCACTACCCCATGTAGACTTAAATGAAAGCATGCAATGCTGACAGTCATGTTTTATGACATCTTGAATGAGTTCCATTACTGTACAGCATTAGGGATTACACTTTACAAAACTAATACACTTCTACCTCGACTCTCCCAAGCAAACGCAACAGATGCAAATCTTGACTTTGCTGGAAGCTAGCCCAGATTTTCCTTCTACCTAAAAAATAGGCAATTTTGTTAGAAAATATTCAGTACTACTCAATATACAAAGTAAGTCATTGTGCAATCAATAAGTCATACTTTACTGGTTGGTTACTTTGGAGTCTGTTCTTCATCAGAACTTTACCAAATTTTTTACAGTCACTGTATCAAATTTTCATTCCACCTCACATTTTTCATCAGTTATCTAACAATATCATTTTCCCATCATTTGTAGGACAGAAAGAGAGACGAGCAAAATAAATCATAAGTGCCAGTCTGTAGGGGAATTCAAGAGGGGAGGGGGAGAGATTAGAGACGTACGCATTATACAGCTTCAAAACTGGTTACAAAGGTCAAATCCAAGTAAAGATAAAGGTTAAGTTAGCCAATAAAATATACAAAATAGGGAAGAAAAATGTTCTCTAAAATCATCGTCTTTTAAAAAACGATAAAAGTTGTATGTAAAAAAAAAAAAAAAAAGGTTGAGACTTTCTATTTCAAAGGGCGAGGGTGAAAGGATAAAAGCAATCAGTAAATACTTTTAACTGGTCTGACATCTGTCTTGCTCTCTCTATCAAGCCAGCAATGGATTCTTCCTCTCCTTCCTCTTCCTCCTCGTCCTCATCTGACTCATCCTCAATATCCTCCTCGCTGCAATCCTCCACGTCCTCAGCAGCTGCTCTGGGGGACCCTTTACTCGTGGAATCATCGCTGTCCTCTTCCGAGTCTAAAGGACACAAAAAAATACAATCGAGTCAGTAATATTCAGTCCCAATTTACTATAAGAACAAGAGGACCACTGTGGTGGAAAATCTTGGGGAAAAAAGACTTCAAAAATTATTCATATGTTTATATATATATGAAGTCTCAAGAACATTTTCTAGTCCAAAGAGTGCACACAATTGCATCATCTTACCTGTGAACTCTTCTCCTTCATAGTCTTCATCACCAGAACTGTCATCTGGGCCAAAATCCAACTGCATCATATGTTTCTGAACAGGTTTAACCCTCCGCTTCTTAGGATCTCTGTCCACTATACAGGAAATTATTCAATGACACAGTGTAATTACATGAGGCATCATATTTTTTTTAACTTAAAAAAACCAGGCTTATTACCAAATGGTAAAATTATGGTTTTCACTTTACTGTCAATTTATTTGTATCAGTTGAAAATATATTATGACATTATCTATTAATGATAGGACAGAATACATGGATACCTCACTCTCTCTTTTTCTGAATAAATCTATAGAAACGGTGTATTTTCATACAGTCAAACCGTACTATTGACTATGTTGCCCTTTAAAGTGCATCAGGTACAAAACTACTGCGACATTCCTTCATTTTAATTTTAAAAAGTAAATGATAAAATCAAAATCTTTGTCATAGCTGAATCTGTCAACTAGCTGATTAGTTTTCTATCATGTACAAAAACACCTATAATTTATAAATATCAAATCATTGTTACAGTAACTAATGGATTGGAATAACTTTGGGCATCGAATTTTTTTTTTCTTCTTTTTTTAACATGTGGCAAATTATCCAAATTAATACAACCACACTAACTGTAAATAGTTAAATGTAGCTCAAGTTACGGTAGCACTAAAATTCACGTGCTGCACAGCCAGTACATATCAGAATCGTCAATAGGAGTGCTAACGCATGAATTTTCGTGCTAAAGTTATCGGCACTAGCACCCCCATAATTTCTGTTATTTACTCAGATCATGCAAGAGCCACAGTTGAAACCCTTAAATAATATTGGTATATGAATTATTATTATGACAGAAACCTCTTATGAACTCTAATAAACCACACGTTATGACTACCAAAACCGTGCACATAATCTACTGTACGTGTACCAGTGGCAGTGAATGAATGCAGAAACATGATATATCGTTTTTCATTATTCATATAAGTGTGTGATTTCACGAATCGAATTTCAACAGAGAGGGTTTTTCGTATAACTGTGGAATGCAACACTTACACATTGCACGATAAAGAAACCCGACACTGGACTCCGTTTCTTCGTCTATTTCAACAGACATCTTGTACTTTCCTTACGCTAAAGATACGGACCTCGATTTCACTTGTTGTGTCCTAATTGCTACACAGGGTTATTTTACTGAAACGAGTCAAAAAATTGGAGATAGTTTCAGTGGTATTGGTAATATTAACAAAACTATTCTCATGCATATACTTATTACAATCTGTTAATTATCAGATCTTTCTGATTTCTAATTTAATAAAACAACACAAACCAAAATATACACGAGAGTATATAATGACCTACATACGGGGCATTGTTCTTTTTGCAGCCATCTACCTTCAGCCATCTTTGAATCGTACATAGCGCTGGGGTGACAGCATTTAGTAGTAGGTGCCGCAACGATGCGTAATGCAGTGTTTGATACGAAATACACAATCCAATCAGCCTTAAAAACAAGGGAGCCAACGTCATTATTTTGGATATTCGGACTTGGAAATGGGGTTAATTGGAGAGACGCGAAGAGACATCATGCTTCGGTAACAAAATTTCAAAAGATTTTTAAAATTATAACATTATACCTCTTGACGTCGAAACAGCTCCATATGTAACTGCTGGATACAGTTGCTCTGCTACCTAAACAAACCCTAAAAGTTATCCTTTAAAAGAAAAAAAATTAATTATACAGTCTGAGGACTTTGTATGTCAAATGCAGAAAAAATTGGTTTGTCTTTCATTATTATTATTAGTATTATGTTACCTTTTCCCCTGTTTTTATTGTTTTGCAGATGGTTCCAATGATCTTATGCACTGTTGCAACAACTGCGCTGGCAGCCTGGTTTACAGCAAGGACTTGTTATCTTGCCCCCGACATTATGTAAGTATACGTCTCATAGTATATTTCAAGAGTCTATGGAACTTTTGAGTGGAAGCAACCTTTTTTCAATTGCATCAGAAAATCAAATGTCCCCTGATTAAAATGGTGTTCATAGTCCCCTAGCACAAAAACAGACATGCTGAAAACTTTTCAGAACTGCCGGACATTTGGACTGGCAGTGATGAAAAATTTGCCGGACCGAACTGACTTTTGCCGGACCGAAAATTTCCATCAAATATGGATTCGTTTCATTTGCATGGTAGTACACAGAAGTAACTCAGACTTGTAAATACATATTCAGTAATACTATCAATAATTTGGGCATGTTGTATATTTTAAAAACAAAAAGTGACACTTAGAAGTTGGGAAGCACTGCTTTATTGTTGTTCTCATTTCACAAGTTGCAGGGTTCAAATAGGCCTTAGGAAGAGTTTGAATTTGTTTTTTTCCTTTGAAAGTCCTTGAATTTCACACTTTGTCCTTTAATTCAATGGTACTGGGTGTACAGCTTAATTTTTCAAGACTTGCCATTTTGGCAAGTGTCTCACTGCTGCCAGCCTGGCACTCACCATGCAATGCCTTCCAGCTCTCACCACTATTTCCAAGTGCCATAAATACATGTATTATAGTATGTTTTAATGAAATATGGTAAAAAAGCAAGGGATTCATCATATGTTTCACATCTATGCCATAAACTGAGATTAATTATGACTTTTATCATGATCAATTTCTCAAAAACGTAATGTTGAGTCGTTTCAATTTGAAATGAATTTGCTTAGAAATTAAATGAAAAAAAAAATTCATTTCCACTGTTCAACAATAGTAATATTTGCTGTTGCTCAATTTCTCCTTTTCTTGAAATAATTTGCAAATATTTTCATGCTACACAAACAGTACATATTAGATATTATTGTAGACCGAATGGGAGTGCTACTGCATGAAACATGCTAGCCATTGCACTGTATCAGTCTCCTCTGCATGGAAACGAACGGCTTCCTGATCAGGACTAGACGATACCATAATCTAAAATAATTAAAAATATTGATGATGTGAAAACTGTAACCAGTACTGGTATCGCGTTAATGGTGACTGGATATTTAAAATCTGTAAAACATTATGTTCATACACCATGGATCAAGTTTCTACGGTAGGTTCGAGGAAGCGACCAAACTGCCAAACTATCGGTGATATGCGGAAGGCACTACCCAAAAAGAACAACTAACAGTGTTTACCCAAAAAGAACAACTAACAGTGTCTACGTACCTTGAAGGTCGAGCGTCACTATCCTGGCTTTCTATATGAATAACTGTTCTTGAGAAAGGAGTCGGGCGTCCAAGTTAAGCAGTAAACATTTGCCCTGGCAAGTTTACATGTGCTTGGCAGCGTGGACCGCCCTCGTGATAGATGTCTGTATGTCGCAACTAATAGGCCAATGACAGCGCACATAATATCGAGAGCAGGGGGATTCCTCATGGGGAATTACCCATTCGTTTGAGACGGATACTACGATTGGCTAGCGTACTTTGTAAAGTGAATGTGACCAAAATGTGATCGGTTTTTACGTGTCACGTGATTAGTACATGGTAGAAAAAATGATGTGGCTTTTTAAATAATTTTATTCTTGAAGTACATCAGACGATGATTGTCAATTCAAAATGGCGGTTCCTAAAATTCTTGTCTAAGTACAATTTTTTACGGTCCAGAGAAATTTTACCGTCATGACCGATCGGACCGACAGTTTCAGCATGTCTGCATTAGCACTCCTATTGACGATTCTGATATGTACTGTCTGGTGCTAATGCATGAAAGCAAAGGCCTCAAAAAGTTGGAAATGAAAACCGGTTGCTGAACCAGCCGCAGTGCGGCAGCTCTCAAATTTTTATTTTACATCTCATCTCCTCAACACGCACATTACTGTGAGGCCAACCAGCTTTCCCATCAACAGGGGTGTCACTTTCCTGAAATTCATCTGTATATCTACCAGTTTGACCAATATAAAATCATACACCCGCTATAAACAGACGAAAACCAGGTCAAATCTACTCAGATCATGACGCAAGGGCCAGTAACCTGCGCATGAGCGGAATTTATTTAAAGACTGAGTCTTCTAGTTGATTTTCACTATGTGTCTATGACAATATAACATTTTATTTTGAATGAAAAACGGCTGAGAATTCCATTTCACTTACTTCTTTTTCATCAATTCAGTTAATTTTGTCAGAAACGTAAAGATGAGAGATAAAAACAGTGTTTGTATCTGCATCATCTTAGAGGAAAAAAATCCTTTTGTATGATATCAAACCCCCCTAAAGAATTATATAGGGTTAGCCTTTTTGTTTTATCAGCCAACATTTTAAAAGGGATTATGAGATATTGTTAAATCTTTGTCCTTTTTTAAATCCAGACTAAACAAAATTAATTTAATAGAAGACTTGGATCCCGAAAAATACTGCTACAGGGTAAGTAAATTATTTTTTCAATTAGGTAGGCAAAGTAAGTATTTATTGTTGGTCAGTAGACATAAAAATACGTAATTTTTTTTTCTTTTGTCTGGGCATCATTTAAGTTATAAAGATCATGAAACAAGATGCTCTGATTCAAATCAATTCTTTGTGATGACTGTTATTTTCATGCTAAATTAACTGAAAAACCATCAGTTTGGTAATGAATTGATTGATCACAGGCATGTGATAACTTAAAGGCGAGACATTGCCTAAAATTGGAATTTTTAGAACCTGGTTTTAATGAACAGACTCTATCCGTTAAGACAGCTGACATCTGCATCTGCTGTTTTTGGAAGCAATGCCATGTAATTTTGTTGTTAACACCATAATAGCAAAACCAGGTTACCTTCTATTCTCAAAGTTTAAATGACAATTTTTAGGACTTATTTAAAAATGTAACTTGACCTCAAAAGCTTTGACAGCTGTGTGCAATGTTCTGGTATCAGATAGTAAAAATATAATCAAAAGTTGTGATCTAATAAGCTAATGCAATGCTCCATCATGATGTGATTTTTTTTTTCCAATTGGCAAAAGAAACCAATAGAAAATTATATTTATTCGTCCTTGTTATTGGAAGAAATTTTGTGAATAAAACAAGAGAATGCGTCAGTTTGACGCCAGAAAGGAATGGGCTTTGTGGATCACTGATGATGTTATGTCTTGCCTTGTCTCAAACATTTTTCTCTGCCGTTTTCCAGTTCTACTCTCCCACTATTGACTGGGCCGTTAGGACGTTTGACACACCCATGCCTGAGGTCGAGAAGTATTCCGGATTCGAGCAGTACAAAGGCTGGTTTGAAGAATAGTCTGACAGCCATGCTGTATGCTGTCCATTGAATAGGAAATTACACTAGATTATGTTAAATCAAGTTGTTATAGAATCAGATATGCAGCCTAACTGTTCATGTTTACACAGGGACAATCTAAGTACAAACCATCCTGTTACGTTGATTTGAAAAGAAATAGAATTTTGGGCCATTTTCTTTGAAGAATTCAGCAGGATTTTCCCTCTGAATTTGCAAGTGTTTTTCTAACATCAAGGAGACATACCTGTGTGTGTTTTAAATGAGTGAATCAATTTTTTTGAATTTCACCTTTGTTAATTTTACCAATTAAAAGCTTTGGTTTCATACACCCAGATGTAAACAATAATCCACCAAACTGTGCTTGTAGAGTATTTAAACTAAATTTGACCTAAAACTCATTCAGAATCAGTAGGTAGTAATTTTTCTCTGAAATCAAGTCCTAGTGTGCCTTTCTCTTCCTCCCCCTCCCCCACCTTGTGTCTTGAATGTACGTAAGGCTGCTGACCACGTCTGTAGTCTATGTAGGTGTCTGTAATGGTAAATCCGTATAACTGTAGCTTTGTAACTTTTCTTTTGTAAATACAATATGGTGTATATTATATCATAACCAGCCATTGACTGCCAGAATATGGTCTTCCTCTAGAGGGCAGTGGCCTTGTTTCTTGGAAACTGACCCAGCGAGAGGTTGATGTGTGTGTTTATGTTAATGTAGGGGGCTGATGCTGTTTAATCTCTAGGTTGCTCCTAGATTGTCTTGTTCTTTGCTGCCCTCTGTTGTAACGGGGCTAGCTTGTCTTGTTAAAAATACCACCTGCTGGGGGTTAGTAGTTGCTCACTCCCTCCTTTCCCCTCAACAATGGTTATGTAAGTGTTCAGAATTATTGGACAACCGAGAAGAGGGACTTATTCATAGTTATCAATGAAAGGACTTTAGTCTTATCAATAAATCTCCCGTTAGAGGAGTAGGAGGAGGAAAAAGAGTCACTGGGCGCATTGATGTTTTTTGGAAACCTTGGATCTCAAAAAGCACAAAACTGAAGCGCACATCTAGTTCTGAGCATTTTGAGCATTACTTGTTTGTTAGCCACGCACACTTATATAACTCATTTTTTGCTGTTTGCTGTTTTTGCTGGAATTTCTTGTAATTTTATTGGAATCAATAACGCGTTGGTTTGACACTGGAAATAAAGTTTTTAAAACGATAGAAACGTGGTCGGTCTTTTCTCTGTGGATATTCTGGCTGTTATTTCATTATATTAGGACAGCTAAAAACAAGCCGGTAACATTCAGTGCGATTGACAACTTGCATGTGTAATTGTACTAATATCGGTACTTATGTTTTTAATATTATTATTATTATTATTTTGATGCAATCAGTGTCACACCTTCGAACTGATGATGCCTACGCAGAAAATGGTTAATGCACCTGAAAATAAGACGGCGCGTAGACGTGGTAAATTAACTCTTAAAAAAAATGTCTATTTTAATTGCACACATCAGATTTTACAGTGTGTGGAATTGTTTTAACTAAGAAAAAATTCCGCAGACAAAAACATTCACAATCTTACTACTAATAAGTGCAAATACAATCTATCCTCTCTAGAAAGTCTAATTAGAAAGGGCACGAAAATGACAAAAATGTTACTGAAAAGATGGATCAAGAAAAAGAGATGTTGATGATGATTTGATATAAATGCAAATCGTCTCAATGAGAACATATAATCATAGTTTTTCTCTACTTCTTTGATATAATACATGGCGTTACCTTTAATGAACGTAATGAAAAGAAGCTAAAATAGCACATTGCAGGGCTTGACATTAAGGGTGGCCCACTGGCCCTGGGCTAATGAAAACCAACCTGGGGCCATTGAGTCACTGGGGTCACTGGCCCAAAGACCAAGTAAAATATCATGTGACAAATCATCCTTGCAATATTTACCGATATTTCGGGCCAGTATTGAAAAAAGTTTGTGTCAAGCCCTGCATTGATGGAAATAATTATAATAATGCACTATGGGTGAATCATTACCAGGGGCGGAACCAGAGCTATTTTCTGACAGTATTCCAAATTATCTTTGTTGATCCATCCTCCATATCTGAACATACAGAAATAAATAGATACCCGTCAACGTAAACTTGAATATCTGACCGTCTTCTGGAAGACCCAAAAAGACGGCCTCAATCCGCTCCTGACTACAGCAAATATTTCATGCAAAACGCACACATATCAAGAAGTTCACCATCGATTGTTTGCACAATGAAAGCAAATAAAATGAAATATTTATGTAACTTAATTAAAATGTAGTTGCCCCATGTAAAGAAAAAACAATGGACAACGAAACTTACTATGGTACACAGAAGAAAACGAACTAAACAAAAGCAAGGTGAAGAACACATGTCATACATTGATCATATCATAATTCATCAATAATCACCACAATAATAATAATAATATATTTATTTCAAGTCTAAAATCCATAAAATGTTCAATAGACTGTACAACATAAAATACAAAGAAGTTTATAGATAAAAATAATCAAGATATATATTATATAAATCAGAGCTAGACTGAATTGTAATAAACGGTAGTTTAAAGTAAAAAATCCAAGGTTTCTTTAAAAGAAAATTTAAAAATTCATGAATAAAATGTCTTTAAAATGTGAGTTTTCCATTCCTTTTTAAAAGATTCTTGTGATTCTATTCGTCTAATAAAAATTGGTAACTTATTCCATTCTACCAGTGCAGCTACACAAAATGCTGTGTCACCATATGTTTTTAACTTTGATTTGGGAATCATACGATGTACCACATAATACTGACAACACCACTGGGAAATGATTGTCGAACCAAAGGATCCTTCAGTAAAGGTGAAAATATACACGTGTGATCTCCAGGTTGGACGCAATGGATAAGTGGAAAAAGAATGCAAGTTAACTGACAGTGAAACTGTCTGGGATACACAGGGTGTTTGGATCAAACGTAATAAACAAAACCAAAATAACAGACTCGCATGCATACACAGCACTTGCTGTATTACACCATGCAAGGTCATAACACAATGCAACACAATAACTCTGACACTAGCAGAGCAAAGTTAACAGACAATGAAAATATTGGGTATATACAGGGTGTTCGGACCGAACGAAATAACAAACGCAGAACAAGAGACTCACTCACGTGGCATACACTGCACGTGATGTTACACACCCACATGGACAATACACAATGCAACACGGCTCTGACGGCTAGCATCACTGGGGAAATAATCCGCATCAGGAGGACTGATTAATAAGACGGTTGGCTTACATATAAACAACATACATATCAACAATGAATGGATTTATAGAACATTTGGTATGTTGCGTAGTCTCACCACCAATATTACAGAGAAACCGATAAAGGAAACGTCCAACATGAAGACCAGCCCATTCGCCTGAACACCAACGAAGAAATGGCCAAACCTCGTGCTCCTGCATCGAACTTGGTGACTGCGATACGGGGGTTGACGTTTCTTTGTAGAGATTATGATTAGCAGTATCCTTGCACATAGAACTGTCCAACATAAAGTCTACCCTATTTGCGTGATCACCAACCCCTTTCAAGAGTCTGCCAAACCGCGTCGAATACAATAAAACCCAGACTGTATCAAATAAAAGGTCGACCTTTTTGTATGCATTGCTACTGCTATTTCTATTTACTTCACTTCCTTTAAAACATGTACAAGAACACAAAGTGTACGATTGACGATGATGAACAAATAAATTACGTATCTGGATAAAGAAATGTACATTACAGAAACGAACACAAAAAGTAAGACTGCCTGTGACGAACAGATAAGTTACATACCTAAATATATATATATATATATATATATATATATATATACTTGTTCACTTGTTTGCATCTTTTTACGTAACGGCTTTCCAGACGAGATAGGTGATTTGGCTTCAAGCTTATCTCCCTTTCTAAGCAACCGGTCGCTAAGAAATTTTAGAGAATTCCCGGTGTCAGTCATGGTGCTTTCACCAGCTATATGATGCCATTTGAATCACTTTAATAGCTGTCTTGGTTTAAGAGAAAATCCCAAAACAGAAAGCGATATTTTTTTATCAAAAGGGCGCTACTGCGTCACCAGCAAGACATTAAACTTAATCTCTGTATTTAGTTGGTCTTTTGAGAAGTATATTTAATTTTTTGCTACCATCGCCTTTGAACATGTAATACACAAACACAAAACCTACGACTGTCAAGGAAGAACAAACGAATTACTTGTCTGAAATAGAAAAACACTCAGCGAGCGAGACAAATACTGTATTAAGAAACAATTAATCATTAATTTTATAATTCATCATCACCAAAAGCTTATCATGTCTTCCTTGGACCAATTGTGAAAAGGAGGTCATGTCTTTGATTCCGTTCGTTCGTTAGTTGTTAGTTGATTGTTTGTTTGTTTGTTTGTACGTATGTTTGTTTGTCTGTTTGTTCTCAGCATAATGCTCAAAGTCATGGACAGATTTTGATAAAAATAGATTCTTCTCCTGAAATTATGAAGCTTTTTTCCTAAAATTTTCATTTTGCACACTTGGGCATTTACAATATGTGGCCTTGAGGCGACATGGACCTAAAGCCCTGTGCCATTAGCATTTTTAGACTCTCTTTTGGACAGGTGCTTTATTGTTTCGTACTTCATTGCCTTCAACGTCAACAAAAATGCTGAAATGAATTTTAAGTGCGCTAAGGTTATTTATACGTTAAATGCTATATACACACAGAAATACACGGTTATGATGTAACAAATCCACCACTAAAACAATGGTGATACTCAAGCCAGTTGCAAAACAATCAGTCGCTTACCAGAAGTCTAAATGCAAAAAATAAATATAATACAATCAAGTTATAACAATAGGATAAGAAAAATAACCATGATAAAACAGTTTGAGTTTCTTATAGAGATGTTCTCATTTGGAGTTAGCCTTAACTTCATGAAAACCTTATTGTAATTAGTGTAATTAAATTGAATAAAACTACAATAATACGCTCCTCCATAATGCATACATTATAAACAGTAACATTATAATAAACGATTTTACGTTAGACGATAAAACTTAAGCCAAACGACATAAACGTATTAATATTCAGTCAATTTACTTTCTTCTAAAGTTAAAATAATTTAATGACAAATGAACGTTATGTATTTGGAATGAATTAAATTTGCCTAAATGAGACAGTGAGTCTATAAGTACGACTGTTCAGAACAATGTAACATGAATCCCATCGACAACTCCGTTGACAATAAATAAAGCCGTCACTGAAGCCGTGTTATGTGCAATTCAAAACTGAACAGAATGGTTATGAAACATCATTATAATCAATGATATGATAAAATATCAACTGATTAGATGGTTACCCTGTATCAGGATCACAGTTAAATGTTTTTCTCAATAGATGTTCATAGATATTTGTCTGGTTATTTTATACACATTTCTCTTGAATTACTGTGACAATTGAGACAAGCACGTGAGTACCGACATCTGGCATGCGGATTCCCAAAGAGTGTAGCTTGCAAGCGTGGTCCCCACTGATATGATTGCCCCTCTGGTTTAGTTTTTTTACGACTTCCTTTTGAGGTCTGTACACGACTATCAATTAAACAACTCCGAGTGCACTTTTCTTTGATGCGCCATGTTTGCAGACTTCTTTTCCTCTGATAGCAACCTCGTGCAGGGCGTAGAACTCCACCAAGGAGTACCCTAATAGCACCAGCGGGGTGAGGAGAAAATGAAGAAAGTTACGAACGAAACTAATATGCTCTTTGACCTTCATCAATCTTGGTCCGAAAACGTCCATCATGAAGACCCCAAGAAAAGCGAGTTGCTGGAGCCCAGCCAAACCGTACATCACGTAGTTAATGTAGAACGGTGAGTCTTTCACAAGGAGAGCCATGGACAAACCGGCAGAGATACTGTACAACCCTGCCGAGCAAAGCAAGATGCCGTAGTAGGAAAGGAAACAAAGACCCCAGGAGAAAGCAGGCCAGAAAGGCATGCGACCAGCTTTAATTACGTAGTAGTGGAAGACTTCAGCTGCACCAATGGTCCATCTTCTGGCTTGACGCGCCCACTCAGCCACTTCTAGCTCCACGGTCTCACCGGATGTGGGTCCGCTGATGACAGGGATCGGAATCATCGGAATACGGAGGCGGCGACGAGTTACGCCCATCCATCGGATCAGGCAGATAATATCATCCATATGGTAGGCGGGGTGAACAAAGTTTCCATCAATACACAAGCACAGGGAAAAGGAGAAAATGCTCATGGAATTGATGTTGAATGGGATGAGAGCCCCCATCATTAAAGTGGTACGGAGAAGACCGGTGACACGGGTGACAAAGCTGCTTCCATCCAAACCCCAGTTGTAGAACAAGGGTGCCTGGAATAAAACTCCATGAGGGGTCTTCTCTTTCATGAACTTGGAAGTCAGAGCTGCGATGTAGCTAGGGTGGAAGTATGAGTCGGCGTCACAAGTGGTGACGATAATCTTTTCAGCATTGAAGTGTGCCCCAAGCTCCTCTTGCATTACCTGCGTCGCCTGACGGAGGCCGTGATTGGCATTGGAACACTTTCCTGGGATCTCATTTGGAAGACCAAACGGGTGAATGGTGAAAATTAGACGCTCGAAACCAGCATCCTTAAAAATCTCACGAAGTTTATCGCATTTTGTTTGCACTTCCGGTGTCTTCTCTTCAAAGGAAATCACCATGGAGATGCGCCCGACTTCGGTCTGGTCTGCTAAAGTCTGAACGCTTCTTGCAATCAGTTCTACTGGTTCCTTGTAACAGCTGATGGCCACCAGGTGGCTGATGTCAGTGTAATCCGGATAGTCTTTTCGGAAATCTTTATTTTTGTTCCTGAAATACGAAATTATAGCATATTAATCTTAGAATTTTGTGGCAATAATAGTATGCCTATAAATATATACATCTTGTTTGCACTTCCGGTGTCTTCTCTTCAAAAGAACTCACCACAATACATATTTCAAGGTGAAGGCGGATGTCTGAAGATTGGTGTTTTTATGTTAATAAAAGCATCCGTGAAACCACCGGTTACATCAACATAATGCGTTCGACTTGGTACATCCTCCCAGTATCACCAGTTTGAGCCCTCTTCGTGAAAGAGACACACGCATGCACTCCAACAATATATATATATATATATATATATATATATATATATACTATACTTCGATCAACACGAATTTCAAGAATTAAAACATCTTTCGTCATTGTTTCTTCGTGGCTTAAATATCTTTTAAAATAAGAGGTCATTCAGAAGTCAATACTTACATGTAAAGGACAATCATATTCTTGCAGGCCAAGGTAACCACGACTACCCACATGAAGACAAATNAGCTTTTCTCTACTTCTTTGATATAATACATGGCTTTACCTTTAATGAACGTAATGAAAAGAAGCTAAAATAGCACATTGCAGGGCTTGACATTAAGGGTGGCCCACTGGCCCTGGGCTAATGAAAACCAACCTGGGGCCATTGAGTCACTGGGGTCACTGGCCCAAAGACCAAGTAAAATATCATGTGACAAATCATCCTTGCAATATTTACCGATATCTCGGGCCAGTATTGAAAAAAGTTTGTGTCAAGCCCTGCATTGATGGAAATAATTATAATAATGCACTATGGGTGAATCATTACCAGGGGCGGAACCAGAGCTATTTTCTGACAGTATTCCAAATTATCTTTGTTGATCCATCCTCCATATCTGAACATACAGAAATAAATAGATACCCGTCAACGTAAACTTGAATATCTGACCGTCTTCTGGAAGACCCAAAAAGACGGCCTCAATCCGCTCCTGACTACAGCAAATATTTCATGCAAAACGCACACATATCAAGAAGTTCACCATCGATTGTTTGCACAATGAAAGCAAATAAAATGAAATATTTATGTAACTTAATTAAAATGTAGTTGCCCTATGTAAAGAAAAAACAATGGACAACGAAACTTACTATGGTACACAGAAGAAAACGAACTAAACAAAAGCAAGGTGAAGAACACATGTCATGCATTGATCATATCATAATTCATCAATAATCACCACAGTAATAATAATAATATATTTATTTCAAGTCTAAAATCCATAAAATGTTCACTAGACTGTACAACATAAAATACAAAGAAGTTTATAGATAAAAATGATCAAGATATATATATAAATCGGAGCTAGACTGAATTGTAATAAACTAATTTAAAGTAAAAAATCTAAGGAATCTTTTAAGGAAAATTTAAAAATTCATGAATAAAATGTCTTAAAAATGTGAGTTTTCCATTCCTTTTTAAAAGATTCTTGTGATTCTATTCGTCTAATAAAAATTGGTAACTTATTCCATTCTACCAGTGCAGCTACACAAAATGCTGTGTCACCATATGTTTTTAACTTTGATTTGGGAATCATACGATGTACCACATAATACTGACAACACCACTGGGAAATGATTGTCGAACCAGAGGCTCCTTCAGTAAAGGTGAAAATATACACATGTGTGATCTACAGGTTGGACGCAATGGATAAGTGGAAAAAGAATGCAAGTTAACTGACAGTGAAACTGTCTGGGATACACAGGGTGTTTGGATCAAACGTAATAAACAAAACCAAAATAACAGACTCGCATGCATACACAGCACTTGCTGTATTACACTATGCAAGGTCATAACACAATGCAACACAATAACTCTGACACTGGCAGAGCAAATTTAACAGACAATGAAAATATTTGGTATATACAGGGTGTTCGGACCGAACGAAATAACAAACGCAGAACAAGAGACTCACGTGGCATACACTGCACGTGATGTTACACACCCACATGGACAATACACAATGCAACACAGCTCTGACGGCTAGCATCACTTGGGGAAATAATCCGCATCAGGAGGAATGATTAATAAGACGGTTGGCTTACATATAAACAACATACATTTCAACAATGAATGGATTTATAGAACATTTGGTATGTTGCGTAGTCTCACCACCAATATTACAGAGAAACCGATAAAGGAAACGTTCAACATGAAGACCAGCCCATTCGCCTGAACACCAACGAAGAAATGGCCAAACCTCGTGCTCCTGCATCGAACTTGGTGACTGCGATACGGGGGTTGACGTTTCTTTGTAGAGATTATGATTAGCAGTATCCTTGCACATAGAACTGTCCAACATAAAGTCTACCCTATTTGCGTGATCACCAACCCCTTTCAAGAGTCTGCCAAAACGCATCGAATACAATAAAACCCAGACTGTATCAAATAAAAGGTCGACCTTTTTGTATGCATTGCTACTGCTATTTCTATTTACTTCACTTCCTTTAAAACATGTACAAGAACACAAAGCGTACGATTGACGATGATGAACAAATAAATTACGTATCTGGATAAAGAAATGTACGTACAGAAACGAACACAAAAAGTAAGACTGCCTGTGACGAACAGATAAGTTACATACCTATATATATACACTTGTTCACTTGTTTGCATCTTTTTACGTAACGGCTTTCCAGACGAGATAGGTGATTTGGCTTCAAGCATATCTCCCTTTCTAAGCAACCGGTCGCTAAGTAATTTTAGAGAATTCCCGGTGTCAGTCATGGTGCTTTCACCAGCTATATGATGCCATTTGAATCACTTTAATAGCTGTCTTGGTTTAAGAGAAAATCCCAAAACAGAAAGCGATATTTTTTTATCAAAAGGGCGCTACTGCGTCACCAGCAAGACATTAAACTTAATCTCTGTATTTAGTTGGTCTTTTGAGAAGTATATTTAATTTTTTGCTACCATCGCCTTTGAACATGTAATACACAAACACAAAACCTACGACTGTCAAGGAAGAACAAACGAATTACTTGTCTGAAATAGAAAAACACTCAGCGAGCGAGACAAATACTGTATTAAGAAACAATTAATCATTAATTTTATAATTCATCATCACCAAAAGCTTATCATGTCTTCCTTGGACCAATTGTGAAAAGGAGGTCATGTCTTTGATTCCGTTCGTTCGTTAGTTGTTAGTTGATAGTTTGTTTGTTTGTCTGTACGTATGTTTGTTTGCCTGTTTGTCTGTTTGTTCTCAGCATAATGCTCAAAGGCATGGACAGATTTTGATAAAAATAAATTCTTCTCCTGAAATTATGAAGCTTTTTTCCTAAAATTTTCATTTTACACACTTGGGCATTTACAATATGTGGCCTTGAGGCGCCATGGACCTAAAGCCCTGTGCCATTAGTATTTTTAGACTCTCTTTTGGACAGGTGCTTTATTGTTTCATACTTCATTGTCTTCAACGTCAACGAAAAGGCTGAAATGAATTTTAAGTGCGCTAAGGTTATTTATACGTTAAATGCTATATACGCACAGAAATACACGGTTATGATGTAACAAATCCACCACTAAAACAATGGTGATACTCAAGCCAGTTGCAAAACAATCAGTCGCTTACCAGAAGTCTAAATGCAAAAAATAAATATAATACAATCAAGTTATAACAATAGGATAAGAAAAATAACCATGATAAAACAGTTTGAGTTTCTTATAGAGATGTTCTCATTTGGAGTTAGCCTTAACTTCATGAAAACCTTATTGTAATTAGTGTAATTAAATTGAATAAAACTACAATAATACGCTCCTCCATAATGCATACATTATAAACAGTAACATTATAATAAACGATTTTACGTTAGACGATAAAACTTAAGCCAAACGACATAAACGTTTTAATATTCAGTCAATTTACTTTCTTCTTAAGTTAAAATAATTTAATGAAAAATGAACGTTATGTATTTGGAATGAATTAAATTTGCGTAAATGAGACAGTCAGTCTATAAGTACGACTGTTCAGAACAATGTAACATGAATCCCATCGACAACTCCGTTGACAATAAATAAAGCCGTCACTGAAGCCGTGTTATGTGCAATTCTAAACTGAACAGAATGGTTATGAAACATCATTATAATCAATGATATGATAAAATATCAACTGATCAGATGGTTACCCTGTACCAGGATCACAGTTAAATGTTTTTCTCAATAGATGTTCATAGATATTTGTCTGGTTATTTTATACACATTTCTCTAATATAACGAGGATATTTGGTAAAATATCGTCATCAACGAGTTGGTCTCTGATAGAGTGCTGGATGGTTGTGACGAGACAGTTTTGAATTACTGTGACAATTGAGACAAGCACGTGAGTACCGACATCTGGCGTGCGGATTCCCAAAGAGTGTAGCTTGCAAGCGTGGTCCCCACTGATATGATTGCCCCTCTGGTTTAGTTTTTTTACGACTTCCTTTTGAGGTCTGTGCACGACTATCAATTAAACAACTCCCAGTGCACTTTTCTTTGAGGCGCCATGTTTGCAGACTTCTTTTCCTCTGATAGCAACCTCGTGCAGGGCGTAGAACTCCACCAAGGAGTACCCTAGTAGCACCAGCGGGGTGAGGAGAAAATGGAGAAAGTTGCGAACGAAACTGATATGCTCTTTGACCTTCATCAATCTTGGTCCGAAAACGTCCATCATGAAGACCCCAAGAAAAGCGAGTTGCTGAAGCCCAGCCAAACCGTACATCACGTAGTTAATGTAGAACGGTGCGTCTTTCACCAGGAACGCCATGGACAAACCGGCAGAGATACTGTACAACCCTCCTGAGCAAAGCAAGATGCCATAGTAAGAAAGGAAACAAAGACCCCAGGAGAAAGCAGGCCAGAAAGGCATGCGACCAGCTTTAATCACGTAGTAGTGGAAGACTTCAGCTGCACCAATGGTCCATCTTCTGGCTTGACGCGCCCACTCAGCCACTTCTAGCTCCACGGTCTCACCGGATGTGGGTCCGCTGATGACAGGGATCGGAATCATCGGAATACGGAGGCGGCGACGAGTTACGCCCATCCATCGGATCAAGCAGATAATATCATCCATATGGTAGGCGGGGTGAACAAAGTTTCCATCAATACACAGCCGCAGGGAAAAGGAGAAAATGCTCATGGAATTGATGTTGAATGGGATGAGAGCCCCCATCATTAGAGTGGTACGGAGAAGACCGGTGACACGGGTGACAAAGCTGCTTCCATCCAAACCCCAGTTGTAGAGCAAGGGTGCCTGGAATATGACTCTATGAGGGGTCTTCTCTTTCATGAACTTGGAAGTCAGAGCTGCGATGTAGCTAGGGTGGAAGTATGAGTCGGCGTCACAAGTGGTGACGATAATCTTTTCAGCATCGAAGTATGCCCCAAGCTCCTTTTGCATTACCTGCGTCGCCTGACGGAGGCCGTGATTGGCATTGGAACACTTTCCTGGGATCTCATTTGGAAGACCAAACGGGTGAATGGTGAAAATTAGACGCTCGAAACCAGCATTCTTAAAAATCTCACGAAGTTTATCGCATTTTGTTTGCACTTCCGGTGTCTTCTCTTCAAAGGAAATCACCATGGAGATGCGCCCGGCTTCGGTCTGGTCTGCTAAAGTCTGAACGCTTCTTGCAATCAGTTCTACTGGTTCCTTGTAACAGCTGATGGCCACCAGGTGGCGGATGTCAGTGTAATCCGGATAGTCTTTTCGGAAATCTTTATTTTTGCTCCTGAAATACGAAATTATAGCATATTAATCTTAGAATTTTGTGGCAATGATGGTATGCCTATAAATATATACATCTTGTTTCGGTGTCTTCTCTTCAAAAGAACTCACCACAATACGTATTTCAAGGTGAAGGCGGATGTCTGAAGATTGGTGTTTTTATGTTAATAAAAGCATCCGTGAAACCACCGGTTACATCAACATAATGCGTTCGACTTGGTACATCCTCCCAGTATCACCAGTTTGAGCCCTCTTCGTGAAAAAGACACACACATGCACTCCAACTATATATATATATATATATATATATATATATATATATATATATATATATATATATATATATACAGGGTTGCTACTTAATATGGAATATTTTTTATCATTGTTATTTTTGAGTGCTGATT